GATGATGAGTGTTAATGTGAGGTTACAGATGACCAGACAGAGTCTTTACAGTATCTACAGGTCTGATGACAATGGAGTGCCTATATAGACTTAAACTAATTTAAGGACTGCCTGAAATGAAAGCCTGAAATGATCCAGTAAAATGTTTGTCTTCGTACCATTGTGAGCGGCAGTCTTTCTCATGAATTAGAAACCTCACCTCAGTGTGCGCGTCTTGTCGCTGTAGTGTCCTCGGATCTCTTCCTGAAACAGGATCGCAGTTAAGCACACAGCAGCACAGTGGGCGCACGTCCGTCCCATAACCTGTTTCTCTTCACGCCAGCTGTTGGTTTTGCACATTTCGAAACACCGGATGTGACTCGCATCCCGCTCACTCCCCAGTCTGGCATCCCCAGCTGGGCGGGGATCAGGAATCTCAGGCCCGGATCTGCAGGGGAGGATGAGGAGGATGAGGGGAGGATGAGGAGGGGCACACGGGCTCTGGCTCGAGGTGCAGGAGGGTGAGGGTGAGGAAATGGCAGTCACGGTCACGTGACCGACTCGAACCCGCGACAGCTGGGCCGGCCCGAGCTGGGCGCGCGGGAATTCAGAACCGTTTCATGAGTGAAACTGAGCGGCGAGGGTACATCTCCACCATCTATCACTCCTCCTCCTTCCCTCTGTCATTGTCTCATGCCTTCGCTTCCTCCTCCTCCTTCGCCATCACCCCTCCTCAATCCGTCACTCTCTCCCCCTCGTCCTGCTCCTCTCTCCCCCTCTCCTGTGTCTCCTCTTCACTGGCATGGCACTGACAGAGACACCTCTCCTGTCTCCCCTCTCCCAGGAAGTCCCGAGCGGAGTGCGGGGGCATGCTGACGGGGGGCGGCGGGGGTGTGCGGGCCGGGGGCCGGGCGGTGAGGAGGAGGATGACCTGCCCGTCCCCCCAGGAGATCAGCCGGGCCCAGGCCATGATGACGCCGCTGGGCTCGCTGACCCGCGGGGCCAGCCTGGACGAGCTCATCGACCGCTGCCTCAACTCCTTCGGTGAGAGAGAGGGGACGGGGGTCTGACGGAGGGAGGGATCT